GCCACTTATAACGGACAGCCCAGAGCAACTTATGGGCTTATGATAACTCTGCATGCCTAAAGGCCCTAAACCCTAACAAATGTTATCTCCTTTAATCTCCCACTCTATCCTAAGACTATCAAAAAAATATTTTAGTATATTTAATAATAAATTATATGAAAGGAGATATTCTTTCCTTTTTCACACATTTGTCTCAATGTTTAAACAGATTTAAATTTGTATTTTAACTTTTTAATATTGAGACACTCTCAAAATGTTATTTGTTTATTTTTCTAAACATTAAAAATAAAATTCAAACCTCACGTCTTCAAACTTTTAGTATAAAAAACCCCTAACAAGGAGATGGTGGTTATTAGACCGCATTCTCCAAAACTCTATTTCTAATTTCGTTGTTATTCATTTTTTTATAGCTGAAACAGATATGGAGAATAGAGCGCATTTACAATCCAGAAGGAGGCAAGGGAGAGGAGGAAAGATCTGAAAAGAATCATCATTAGGAAATGCTTTTGAGGGCTAGATAGCTTAAGAATGTCTGCTTCTTGCTGATGTTTTGGTGAAAAAGCAGACCATAAAGCCCATTACCAGCTTGACCAAAGTAGGAATGACAGAGGAAGAGACAGACCACACAAAGCACTACTCATTCATCTTTTACTTTGTCTACACAGAATTATTAGTGCCCCTGTACCTTATGAAACTGGTTAATAATGGATTTATCATCATCACAAACAAAAAGAAGCCAGGTACAAAATTTCTTGCTAGAAAAAGCAAAATACTCAAAATCCTACATTTCATAACAAGGCATCCGATCTGACAATTTACCTGCATGATTTACCCATCCACCTCTGTGAATGGGTAGAGAGAGTCCAGGCAAAAAACATAACTTAATCTAAAATTAATTAAATATTAATAAAGACTTCTACTATATTTAAGTCCACGATGTACTTATTGACATATTGATATGATTTTTGAAACTACTAAATCTCTTTATGAGAATATAAACTGCCTAAATTATAATTACCATAAAAGGGTTGATAAAATCATTTTTTTGATTTTTAATTTAACGGTTAATATATTCTCGAGTTACTTTGCATAGATGTTAAGATTAATTTTTTTCAATCTAATTAAAGATAAGTTATCCATATCAGAACTTAAAAATTTATAAAAATTTATCTCATTTAATTAATAAACATTTTTATCAACTAAGCAAAAGCAACCACTTCTTGAGGTGATAAAATCAAAATTAGAAAAAGGTTCGGGTAACCTAACGAAAACTTCTTAAAAGTTAGCGCTGCCTTACAGTTCGTTACTCCTTTTTAAAAGACACTAGCTAGGGAGCTCTGCTATTAAGGTAAAAGTGTAAAACACTAAAACATTGAATTAGGAAACTAGTTTGAAACTACCACTGTAACACCAATAATAATAGACTGATAATAACTCAATCTCTTTGAGAGATGGAGTGCTGTATTTTTTAAGTATAATTAGCTATAAGAGTCTCTACAATTAACTAGTTATTAGAAAAATTAAATTAAGTTTTTTCTTCTTTAAACGAAATACAGGAAGCCTACACAAACCTGTGGATGACCACATGGGTCAAGGCCTCAAGGGCCCTTCGAGTCAATTCATAAGGATTTCAGCAAAGTACTGTTAAGTACGCGTAAACAATTGTTGTTTTATAGGAAAATGAAAGGGCAGAAGGTGCAATTCAGCCCCTCTACGTCCATTGTTGTGGCACATCAGCCCCTCTACCTAAAAGTAGAGCAAATCAGCCCCTCCACTTGACAAAAACCCGCAAATCAGCCCTTCTGCTGACGATGACCTCATCAAATGTCATCTTTCCGTCCACATCCTTGTTACTCC